GAAGATTTAATAATTTCTAAAAATTCTGTGAATAATATTTTGAGAAAAAATCATCCTCTTTTTTGTGAATGGACACAAGAAAGATTTTTTCAGCAAGATGTGTTATTTACGGATAAATAGACCTATAAAAACGGCTGTGTGAATAAGGATAATTTATATTTATATGCAAACATTTTATGACGACACACATTCAGGAAAAGTGGACTTTAAATGTTTGAGGTGTTATAGTAGAAAACAATTTTGTAGGGCTTCATTTATTTGAAAATACGGTAAATATGTTAAGAATTATTTTAAATGAAGTAGGGCAGAGAATGTGGTTTCCTTATGATGGAGCTCTTGCGCACCATGATCATCAAGTTACTACTTAAATAATTTAGTTTCTCAACGGTGGATACAAAGAGGTGGTCCGATTAGATGGCCACCTAGATCTCTTAGGTTATCAGGGGTAAATAAAGCTTCCCCACAACAAAAGAGGACATGAAACTGAGAATGAAAGAAGTCTTTCAAAGTGTTAGTCATGAAATGGTAGAGCATGTATCGAAGTCAGGGGGGAGGCATTTCGAGCAATAAATAAAGTGAAACTGAAGTAAACAGTTCTTTTTTGTTTTGCAGTTTTTTTTTCGTTTCTAATTTCTTTTTTCTAAAGATATTAGCCATATTAAAATTGCATTTTTAATATTATACCCGGCGTTAAATACTGTGTGTTGTGTTTCCAAAATGGCGATATTGTCTGAAAGATTTATACTTAATTCGTCTCTGTAGACGTTCCACGTTAAGGTAATATTTATTTTGTTCTCAATTTATTATGATATTTCCGCATGGTTTGAAAATTATCAGTATTTTGTTTGTAAAAATGCGAATATCTCAAAAAATACTAAGTTTAGATATAAGGAATACTCAATAAAGATGTAATTAATGGGAGTATATTATACTGGGTGTTCCACTTGATTTTTTCATTAAAATAAAATTTTTCATATTGACCCACCCTGTATAAATGATATAAACTAACTTCAAGACAAGTATCGGATGAATGACTGTGACTTCAAAAAATTGTTTGGAATAATGAAATAACAGAGGACGGAAACGGAGTCAAAAACTTTTGACGAAAATAAATCCGAACATAAATCTGAAAATACTCAGTATAGCCCATAACATTAATTGAGTATAAAAGGGAATTCCCATATTAGTCAGGGTGTTCACAAATCTATGAGTCGCCCTATATATTTGAAAATAATTTTCTATTACTTCCATATTTAACATTTTTCTTTAGTAATAAACGAGGTAAAATATTTTGACACACTCTTTGGACACCCTGTATAGTTTAGCACCCACATAATAAGCATTTCTTTCATAACTCGTGGTAGAGTTTAATGGCAATGTAATCAAGCTGCTCTGCTGTCTCGCAATCGAGCAACAATAGCAGTAATGTAAGAACTTTTAAACCAAACGAAATGTTTATATGATTCAGTTATGTGCAGCCTTAATATTATTCTAATACCTCCACTGTAGGAAAAAAGCGACTACCGCCCAACTCCAGTACCCCAAAAATTATTTCGAAAAACAACTCTTAGCACATCACGCCCAACTCCCGTGGTAGTTAATGGTCTTAGATAATAACCAGCTTTCCATTATAGAGATTAGTCTAAGTAAATCTCCAAACATTTAGAGTTTTAAGCTACTCCAACACCATTAGAAAATGTTTTTTTCTGGTTGAAACCATCGTCAAAATTTATAATTTTTTTTATATCGAATTTATTTTTTATTTTGTTTGCTAAACTCCACACTTGTACATTTCTGAGACAACTATTTATTATATTTTTTAGACCTATTAGTGACTCATCTTGGAGAATGAAAAGGGTGTTTCAGCAAAAAGGTCCATTTTAGAATCTTTGAAGCACATTGAACCTCATCCCATTCTGACCTATAATAATTGTAATTAAAAGTACCGAGAAGGAAACGCTGTCAAAAACTTTACTTATATCACAGGTCATTCCAAAAGTCGATTTTTATTATCTAAATTCACTAAAATCACTCTGGAAACCACCTCAAATATTGCAGTAGTAGTTGATTAATTAATAAGGAAACCATGCTGGCTTTTACTTAAAATTTTACTTGAGGTTAAAAAAGCCAACTCAATACAAGTGTTTCAAGAAGCTCACTTACAGCCGATAGAAGCGAGACTGTTCTGTAATTTTCTAGATCCTACCGTTTACCTTTAAAAATTGGAACCACGTGCGATAGTTTTAAGCAGTCAGGAAAAAATTTCTGACAAGATGGATTTGTTGAACAAAGCAATAAGTTCGTCAGCTACAGCTGCCAGTATTAGTTTCAGGAATTAATAAGAAATTAAATCGTGTCCCGCAGAGTTCTTAAAATTTGCAGCTTTAGCTGTAATGAATTCCTCGTAGGATTTATAAAAAGGTTCTTACGTTATGGCGAACCTAAGATTAATGAAATGGTAAGGCGGGTTGACTTACTTATTACTTATTCAAGAAAGCTGTAAAATGTAAATTTCAAATTAGGGTCACACTACTTTGCATACAATAGAAAGACGAGTTTGGTGAACGTTAGAAATATGACAGCAGTGTTACTACAGGTAGTTTATTTGAATAATAAATGAAAACTTTTATAAAAGTAAGGATAATATGAAAATAAATAATTTTTTTACAAAAGTTGCTCTTCACAATACGACTCTCTTCCTACATTTTTATCATGTGCAACTTAAAAATATATCAGTTTTAACTTTAAACCCAGCAAGTGGTACAGTTTACAGTTGAGTTACAATACGTTTCCACGGTTGACAATTTTTTGAGTATAATGGAAACTACATTTAATATCTTATACTCAACACTGTTAGCAACCTGTGTTTTATATAGTCTTGTATCTAACATCCAATGATCCATAATGACAAAAATTTTAGTCTTCATGTTATAGACATCTATTACACCAATTATTATTTGTACATTGAAAACCAAATTATTCAATTGTGATGAAAGTGTGTGTGTGTTTAACATTGTATCCAACTACCTATATAAATCATAGCTGATAAGTTAGTGCAGCATTTAAAACCGATTTTTATGTCTTACATTATTTATGCGTTTAGCATAACCTAACCCTATAAGATCTCTTTTTAGGTGTACCCATGAAAGTGTTACATCATATCATACCTTTAAAACGCCGTGTTAGGTCAAAGAAAAAGAATCATAACTTATGTTTTTTATTTACACATAGGCGATATGAAAAAAAGTTTCGTAGAAAAGTTTCTTGGACTCTCCTGAAGATTTAAAAAATCATAATTTTGTTGATACAGGGTGTTATTTTAAGTGGAACACCTCGTATATTTCGAAATTTTGTTGTTGGAATCCTTGGTTAAAATAAAGGTCACTTTCTTAAGAAATGCCTATTGAAATTTTGCACAGTTTAGGCAGAAATTGAGGTTATGTGTTCATATTATGTGTTATGTTTCATATTTTGATGGCCCCATATAAAATTGTGCTATGACGCTACTGGTACAGGTATTGCAACGAAAATTTAACCACGGACTAAGGAGATGATGCATTACTCAATTGTTTGGCAGATGCGCCTCAGATTATACAGAGGATCGACAATATATTGAAAATATATTACAGTATCACCATATTTAACTTGTTTTTTAGTTATTCGTTTCTGTTTTTTTTTTGTTTTATTGATTTATTCATTCAAATTTGTTACCTTGTTCAATTAGCTTATAAACATTAATTATTTATTTTTGTTATTAGGTATTTTCAATCAAGCTAGATAGTTAACTATTAAACGTTTCTTTAAATATGAATTCTGAGGTTTTATTAAATATGTTAAAGTGTGTAGTATAGAGTCGATTTTTTTCAAAATTTCCACGTATTAATGGACACCCTATATGGTTAGCAATAGGTTTCATTCGTATATCTGGAGTATTATATCCTTAAAAGAAGTAGTTTAGTATCTTTGCTATTTAAAAAATACCTAATCTTGCCAAAAAGTGACCTAATGTGGGCAGCTTTAAATTCAACAGGAAATTATACGGGTGTAGTGCTAAGTAAAATTTAGATATAAGATAATTTACATACTTACCTTATTTTTTGTCCTAAAATTTATATCTGAAAAAAAAATAGTGTGTTCCATTTGAAAATCTGAGGCGCATCTGTCAAACTGATTGAGTATTGCATCATCTCCTTAGTCTGTGGTTAAATTTCCGTTGCAATATCTGGATCAGTAGCGTCACAACATAATTTTATATGGTGCAATCAAAATATAGAAAAAAAAAACACATAATCTCAATTTCTGCCTAAACTATGCAAAATTCGACAATGAATTTCTTAAGAAAGTGATCTTTATTTTAACCAAGGATTCTAAAAATATCGAAATATTATCGATTTAAAACAACAAAGTTCATGTCGGTGGACACCCTGTATCAACAAAATTATAATATTTTAAATCTTCAGGAGAGTCCAAAAAACTTTTGTACGAAACTTTTTTCGTATCTCCTATAGGTTTGCAGATCGTATAGTGGGTCGTTTTATTTGGCACACGTTGTACGCTTTAATTAAGTATCTGAGAGTTAAATGCTATAGAAGTTCTAATTTTCATTAATGATTTATGCAATAGTTTGGTTTATGAATTCCAAATCAAAATATGATAATAAAAAACCACATTGGTATGCCTTTTTCGTCGCCCTGTTCAAATCTTGTGATACAAGTTTTAGTTTTTTAATATTTTCACAATGTTTTTTCCTATTAAAGATAAATAGTCATGCTCTCAATGTTGCCATTTAGTAAATTATGGAAACATATGCTACATATTTTAGCACCGTTTAAGAAAAAGCATACGGTATCGCGAAATTATGTAGTACGTTTCTGACATGACATCCTGTACCGGGGTGTCGATGCGCTCAAAACTTATTTCCTCCCACTTACTTACCTGTGCCTACCTTGATTGTTAAGAATTCACCTGAACCTCCTTTAGTTCTGAGTTGTAGCGCTGCGTTCGCCGGTCGTCGGTCGAAGATAGAAGAACGCGCGGTGAATGTTGGGTGTTAAATTTATACCGTTAGTTCCTAGTGTATGTTAATTACCACTTTTCTGAAGGGATTTCGGTGTTCATTAGTGGAAATCCGCGCACTGTATGCGACCCTAGTTCAGGTTTTCGTCTAGTAGATTTAGGAAATAAAACAGGTGAGTCTATGTGATGGTTACCTGAGACGAAAAGGTCATCAGAAGAATGTTGCTTTTAATATATTCCGCTGCGCCGTGACACATCTATATAGATTTGTTTATGATATTAAAAATGATAAGAATACATAATTAAATTGGAGAAAATCGGTTGGTCAGAAGAAAAAGGCCCTCTAAGAAAAACGTACAGCTATAAACTTATTTTGAAACATACGTATAATTATTATATTGTTAGATTTCTACAAAAATCGTCATATTTTTTTAAAGCTCGCTGTCATTTCTGTAAATTTTTTTTTGTAGTAGAAAAAGCAATTTAAAGGATCACGATAAAATTTTAAAGGCCGTTAAATAAAATATAAAATGCAAAAATTTAAACGATTATTTTTCTCAGGTTGGTGTATCAAGTTGTACAACTAAATAAATCTTTTACTGTCAATGAGATCAAGAATAATATTTTCATTTCTATGCGATTAACTAATGCAGAAGAGCTATTAAACATCCTAAAAGAGCCAAAATTAAACTCAAGACACCCATCTGACGTAAGTATAGTTAGAGATGTGCTCAATTTTAGAATATTTCCACAATAATTTAATCCAAATTATTCCCCTTTTTACTTCAAGCGATATAAAATACATGAAATGTTACAGGCATATTTCAACATTTCAATGTTATCGATCATCAATATCCATTACATTAACTAATGATTTTCGAGTTGTATTTTAACGAATAAAGTACATTTGGAAAAAGAAATAGTTCATTGACTAAAAAAAAAGTGATTGTTTCAAAAAAATTGATTAAAATGGTTAGGAATGTTTTCTACAGCCTGGTAAGACACATTTATATGACCGAAAACGCTACATAAACTTTGACGTACTATGTAGTTGGACCTCTGTTGTATAGTCTCAGCGACCTAAATCTTAAGTCGATCAATCTCAAAGCAGACGGCTCTATTTTGGTGTATACTGAATTGTCTCTATTGATTTTAACAATTATGTTATCTTCACCTCTTTTATCTTATCACAAAGTTAAATAACTATTGCAGTTTTGTTAATAAATTAAAAGCAACATTGCAGAGTATATAAATTTTGGTACCCGCGGTTCAATTTTTGCAAACACTGATTTGAGAATTACTGTTAATGTCAGTGAACATTGGAACCAACGTTGTGCTTAAAATATGGTTTGAAAAAAATTGGCTAGTTATAAAGCGCGACGGGTATGCAAGATAGTTTGTACATCTGCGACCAACTTTAACCAACAAATGATTTCGCCCGGGGTCTTAAGGGTCCCAGGCTTGAAATCAATAACGGCATTATAGAAAAATGCCATTTTGAATATGTCTTAGGATTTCTCACGGAAGCAACCATACACAAATATTTCCTAGTCCTACATTACAACACATTAATCCAAAGTAACAACTAAAGACTAAAAAACAGACCTCTAAGTGCAAAAATAATATGACACGCAAATTTAAGAAAGATTAGGAGCAGCAAAATAAAATTTTAAAAGTCAAAAGTCTAATTAGGTTGCAATAAAACACTCAATTTCGATTTTGTCAGAAAGCATAATATAACGTAACGCATAGGTTCATGTTTGCCGCACTCTCTGAAGTGACTATTGGATCAACGCTCGGTATATACCTTACTCTTGAGTATTGACAAAGATTTTCCGCGTCCAATAAAAATTGAGATTTCAATCTAATGCTTCAAATATTACGGAACTCTCCTAAACACTTTCACACTCGACTCACTTCGTTGGGAATAAGAATCGACGGAAGTCGCATAAGAGAGGGTTTAATTTTTGGCTAGTAAACATCCGAACATTTTACATCACCTTTTTATTTACAGTGACTTTAAGACCTCGTAAGTGAAGCGTAATATAAACATTCCGATAATAATTGTTTATTGTAGCAATAATACGAAATATTCATTGGGATGCCAAATTTTACGGGCCGGGTAATAATCCTTCGAATTACCTGCAATCCCAAGAAATCCGGATTCCATGCTATTTAGTTGTGATTTATATTTGGAGCCTGGTAATCTACGTGCTCCTGCATCTCATTCGGAAATATTTATCGTGGATTTTTTTTGGGCGACTTTAACCTTGCATTCGGAAACAAAAGATAAAGGATAAAAGGTTCGGCGTCTCCGTGGGCTAAATTCAAGATCTTTTGCTTTTGCAATTCAAGGTGCTGGCTAAATTATTTGTTGCTGGGTGGTAACTCGGAATTGATCACTCTTCATAGCAACTGAATATTTCTTTGTCTTGTGCTATTATGTTTAACAAACGAAAGAAGCAACGTGTTTTTTCCTAATCGTCTTTCAACGTAATACAATTGCGGTATAACAGATTGTCAATTGTTTTGTAAATATGCACACTTATCCCCATACGAGTTCCAACTCAAAAATTCCAAAACAAAATATTCTCGATACTACTTAGAAGTTCCTTAATTATTCGACATTATTTAGCTAGGACTGGTATAAAATAACCTCAAATAAGAAAGTTTCAAGCAATTTAAGGTGCGGTTGCTGTTGCATTCCAAGTCATGTTTGTGAGAATAACAATGCATACGTACCACATAGTGGATAAAATATTTATTAAACGAAACTGTCACTACAAACAATTATATTTATTAAGTGTTCAATGTGATTAGACTATGTTAATTATCATATGATAAAGGTTTGTAACAACGTTGGAGACATCAACACTAGGCAAGAAGACGAACCTCTACTATCGACATTCCATTTCGCCTATGCAGAATGTATTTTAAATGACTGAGCAAATATCAAAATGCGATTTTTTGAGTGATTGGAAATCACGAAATTTATACCGAGTGACACAAGAAATGCCTTGATGTAACGATTTGAACTTTGAGAAACTTAGTTCAGACCACTTCCGGTTTGAAATTATAATATTCCATAAAGGCTTTGCTACTGCGCATCAGCATGAATGCAAATTACGAAAGTTTGTACATTTTTACCTGGTTATCGAAACTTGAAATCATAAAAACTAATAATTTACAAATGTCTAAAAAATCTGATTTGCTTCTGGTATACCGGAAATGGATTCCATGGTCTGAGTTTTACCTTCATAGGGTTTTTTTTAACGGTTTTTAAGGTTTTGTTGTTAAAAAAAAAATAACGGTTCCAAACAACTTTTGTTCACACTAGAGTATTATTCGGAAAAACTTATATAATAGTTACAAAAATATTATTTCATTACATTAAATTTGCTATTTGCTGTCCGACAAGTAAGAATGCGTTTCATTTAAAATGCCGCTTATTTGAAATTGAAAAATGCAAAAAAAATTGTAGTGACCCAAAATTTAAAATCGCTGCGTAAAACTCAGGTACAGATATTCTAGCCTACTTTGGTAAAATTAGTAAGATTTACAGAGTAACATTTACACACAGTGGATAAAATATTTACTAAATATTTTATGTTACTAGATTATGCTGCTTAGGGTTTAACAAATGATAAAAGTTCGTAAAACAACGTTGGAGAGATCAACAGTCAGCCACAAAACAAACCCCTATTACATACATTCTTGTCCGCCATTAGAGAGTGTTTTTAAAAACACCTTAGCCAAAATTATTAAGCATGTATATAGAGTATATAAACATAAATGATAAATCAAATCGTTTTATAAATATAGAGAGAACACAGTCAATATCTTTCACAAAAAGGAAAATGCGCAACAAACTTTTCCCTTTTATTCGTTTTGTGCGAGTTGTTTATGTTTTTTGTCCTGTTGGATTGCTATTTTTTGCATTGGAAATAAATTAAATATTTAAAAACTCGAGAGAAAAAAGTATTTAATCAATGGTTAATTGTTACCTATTACCTATACACTTAAACCTAGTCGGTCCCAGTAGATTTATTAAAAGGAATATTTTTTAAACAAAACTGTCAAACAATTATTCGTATTAAATGTTTAATGTGATTAAATTATGTGTGTTACGCTTTATCATATGATAAAGTTGAAAGACGAACCTCTATAAGATTTATTTCCTTCCGCGAGAGGTGATTCTTCGGTGATTTATAAGTATAAATATGTATAAACAAAAATGACATTTTTTTTTGGCAAAGTGTGCAGCCGGGTTGTGATTATTTGCATTTTCCTATTCCGTTTTTATTTTTTGCCTTATATATAAAGTTGAAATCTAAGAAAAATATTTTTTGAATTGCTTTATCCGAAAAATATATAAATTTAGTGCCGCACATCGTCTTAGATTATTCTTTAAATACACCCTGTATTTGCGCTGCATATGCTCTATAAGACAGCCACTAATCAAAAATTATTTAATTTCAATGTCAGTCGTATATTTTTAATTCTTGTTCCAACATTTTCAATACGCGTCCTAAACCTAATTTCTTTCTCTGATTATTCGAAACCAGTATCATTTTTGACCAATTATAACGTTCGCGTTAATTATATAAGCTTGAAAAGTGTCTATAACTGTGCGTTCCACTGCCATAACGTCAACCTTGACTTTCTATTTATTTGTCTTTATTATGTACGTCGAATTAGTGACATTAAAATCGTAAAAACGGAAAATGGACGTGCAGATATTTTTTGTTTACTTTAATCTAAAAAGCTAAGATATAATTCGTTTGACAATTTTAACAATGCCGTCTCTGAGCACATATACAAGGTGGGCCAATAAGCGAGCAATGTGGCTATATCTCCGAAACCCAGAATTATAGATATGTGCGATAAAAAAAGTAACTAAAATAACCAAAAGAAAATGCATAATTATACTCCTAGGTGATAGTCAGGTAGAAAAAAAAACTGAATAATGTTCTATTATAAGTAGATAAAAGGATACGACAACTGTAATACTTGTAAAATTCTGCATCTTTCTTGCTTATCACTTGTTATTGTACCGTATACTTATAACATTTGTTTAACGCAACTTATTTGTAGAAGAGGGCCCATTCAATTATTTAGAGATATTTAATGTTTCTCCTAAATTTAAAATAAAATGATAGAATCATTTCAAAAT